GTCTATTATCTCATGTAAGCTCTTTTAAGAGTCTCTGTAATTCAGAAGGATTTCCTAGCGAGCCACGTCTTCTATGTGTAACTTAATAGCAGAAATCACTGTATAACTAGAGAAATGAACTAAAATTAGACTGGATTCTGGGATACCAAGGTGCTTCCCTAAAGAAATATACAATTTAGGGACAAAAATAAAAAGTTGTTTGTGTATTTGAACACTTATTTCCACCCCCCTTTCCTTGATCTCTACCCCAAGACTCTGAGAACGAGAAGCCTGTTCCTGAGATTCTCATTTTAAGAGCAAGGCCATGGAGAGATCCACTTGGACACAGCCCTGGTGTAGAATTGATTTACCTTGTTTTAGATCTGTGGGATGTCTGGGGTGTGTGTGTGTGTGTGTGTGTAACACATTTTCCAGCCAGACTGGCAATGCTTTCTGGCTTTTTCATCAAAAGTCTTGGGCTCTCTCCCTTAGCGATCTTCTCTGTCAGATTCTTTTCCTCTTTAACTTTGGTTCTTACGTTCCACATATAGGCAGAGAACAACTAGTTAGGGAAAGGTTGCTCTAGAAAAAGAGAATTGTGAGACCAAATGGTAAGCATTATTCAGCTGATGGGGGTGGTATAGATGTGAGGGAAGGTGGGGTAATGTGATCAGGTTCTGCAGCTGTGACCTGATGTTCCAAAACAGCCTCCTTCCGCCCTGCTTTTGGTGTCTACATTCCAGCACCTCTCCTTCCATCTTTGCGCGCAGTGGGGCCCTCGCAGACTGACTTTTCATGTGCGTGAGACAGGAATGGAGCTCGCTCTAGGAAGAGCCACCTCTGCTATTTATTCCAACCCAGATACGTTTTTGAACGTCCTTCTCCCCGTGTTACTTTTAATATTGGCAAATCATGCGGCATGTAACTACTCTTGTTCAGCACACTTAGAGACAGGTTTCCTAAGATTCAAACTGCCATCGCCCCATCATGATGTCTTTAAGGCCTTTCCACCTGATCTGGAAGATGCCTCAAACTAAGCATATATACTGAGGTCATCATCTCTGTTTTCACCTCACCTCAGAAAACACCAACCTTTTCCCTGTGTCTCCTCCTGCAATGAAAGGTAGTGCCATTCTTCCCTCACCCAGTTGGATAACCTAGGAGTCATCCTAGACCCTTGTATCTTTCTTATCCATTTCTTGCAGTCTATCTCCTAAATAATTTTCTACTCCTTCAGTGCATCTTTCCTCATGGTCATGGCCCCAATTCAGGCTCTCATTATTTCCCCTCTGGAATGTGGAAACATCTGATGTTTTTGCCTTTACTTTTTTCCAGATCATTTTGTTCATCCACTCTGTTCGTGTTGCATATTAAATAAGACTCTAACCAATGAGGCCAATGAAATTAAAATCTCATAAGAAGAGGGGTAGATGAAGATCATTATTTCTTGGAAGCTCTGCCGATTATTGTGGTGTGTGGCTAGGGCTTGAGAATCAATGATGGACTGGAGAAATTTGACATGTCTGAGCCAGGCCATATACAAGGTCTTCATGACCTTGGACATCTTATCTGCTACCACTTCTGCTTCTGACTTTACAATAAATAACCATAAACTACTTGTGCTTCTTCTTACTTTCATGCTGTTGCATACCATTCCCTGGTTTTATGCCTTAGTCTGTGGGGATTCGTCCATCAGAAATGTTTTGGAACTATAGCACTGTTTCTGTGGGGTACCATGTTATTTTATTCCCTGTCTTGGTGGGTATTGAGTTGACTCGTGAGAACCTCCAAAAGGACTTGGAGCTTCCGTGCTTCTATGTGTTTCCTCGCTTTTCCCTCTTGTCATCCTCCCCACATCCACGCGCAAGTCCTAGGAATCTCTTATAGTTAGCGTGGTGTTACGTCAGAGCTTTCTGAAATGCCAGGTCTTCATGGTCCAGAAGGTGCTTCCATGTTCTGCCCCAGAGGCCCTCTGCCCTGGTACTGTGCTATACCAGCCTTTACCCATTATGCCACCCACAGTGTAGGCCAGGGAGTCAGGTGGGCGTGCAGTGTACAGAGGGCTTTTACATGTTGCATCTCAGTTTGACCTTTGCTGCACCATTTGGAGTAGACAGGGAGCTATTACTTGTCCACCTTACAGATGTGGACATGGAGGTTCTCAACCTGACTTATAGGTATACTTGAGTCTCTACAGATTATGTGTTGAAAGGGTCCACAGTGTACTATGACCTGATTGAATGGTGATTAGCTACTTATTACTAAAGGGGCATGGCTGTAGTTTTTTGTTTTTAGAGCATGTTGGTAGATCCATAATTTAAGGAAACTTAATTTAATGGTATTCTCTCACTATTGTTTAGAATTTTCCAGGCTCTGTCTTCCTCTTAGGTAGCCCATCATCATCCTTTGGTCATTTTGGTCCATGGCACCTCTGTGAAAGAGAAGGGAACACTTGTACAGTTGGTTTTAGATGTTGTCTCTTTGAGGCCAGTACTGTGGGTCTCTTAAATTACTCAGTCAAGTCTTAAAGGTCCAAATGCAGTGTTGGGATTGTGTCTTTGGGCCTAACCATAGCACTGAAAACAGTGCTTTCCATTGAGAAGAAGGGAAGAGGACTTAGAGTTCCTCAATGAAGTGTCCATGTAGATTTGCTCTGGTGTCAGGCCACAATGTTTCCCACGTCCTGTCTCCAGCCTAGCAAGGCTCCTTGTATTATTTTTTGGAGGGGTCTAAAAATGAGGCCCACTAGGCTAGTTTATAAGACCATGGCTTTAATTTTTAAAATCTTGCTCTTCTTGAATTTAAAAATTAGAAGATATTATAAATTACAAATGACTGTATTTGACTTCTGTCACTTTGAACAAAGTGACGCAGTTTGAGCAAGTCCATGAGAATAAGGATTTCCTTTCTACTGCCTGGAAGGAGCAAAAGATCATTTTGTTTTAAATAAATCTATTGAGATACATGTTGCTGGTATCTAATCAAGCTCTGAATTTGAGTTCAATTAGAGCTTTGATAAAAGAAAAGGGAGAGGAAACTTGAAAGAATGCTGTCCCATTCATGAAGGACTTGCATGTTTTAGTTCCCAAGTAAATGGAATAATGGGACCATGCATGTTCCATCCAAGCATTTTCCACCCTGAGAATAATTCCCTTCCTGGCTTCTCAATGAATAATGCATTATTTCTGAAACTCAAGAGGCATTCCTTTGATTTTCCTTTATGTTTAGTTTTCTGAGTGATTTTCAAGCAAGGCAATTCGAGGACTTGGAATAAACACTTCATTAACAGATTTACTTGAAGTTCAAATTGCTTCTTGGCTAATATCTCCTGGTATTTGAAATATTTTTTTTTTCCTCTCTAAGGAAAGTCTTAGGTGTTGTATTTATTAGAAAATGAAGCACCTTGGACAGTCTTCAAAGTGAACGGCTGTTTAAAACCAATATCCATTTGTGTTTTAGAACAAAGAGCTTTATAGGGGATACTTTTCTCCTTTCTTTATTTTCATTTCCCTGCTGAAAAGGTTCAAAAAAGAAAGCTCACATTCAACACAACCAGGCTGTTTAGAGACTAAATCTTGTTTGTTTACATTTTGTGAAACTCATTCCTTGAGGCGAGTCCAAAGCCACCACCCCAGTCCCAGCCTGCGTCCACCTAGGCCCGCGCCTTTTAACTCTCAAGATTCAGAAGCTCCCCTGGGATCGCCTGTATTGGCTGTCTGCTCCCTGTGTAGTTTGTGACACATAGAGGGGGAGATGTAATGGGACATGGAAGGGCTCCCCTATTCTTTTGGCGCCTGTTCTCTCAGCTTAGGATCCCAGGTCATCCCGGGGTAAGACGGTGGGAGATTGTAATGCTGTTTCACAATCTCCATTTTTCTCTGGGAGCCAAATGAGTGATTTCAGGGACTGAAAAGCTGGAATTAAGAATATAATCTATATTTCCATTCCTTTTACAGTTATAGTAAACTCTTAATGATTCAGAATAGTAGGGGAAGAAAGAGAACAAAGTTGATCTAAATTGGTAAAACATCTAAAGCATAAAGTTTGATTTAAAATATTGAATTCTATTAATTTCCAGAAATGAGAGTATAACAGTATTTTTGGGAGTATGGACTCTGGATCCAGTGTCTAAAAGCGGAAATTCTAGGGTTTGTCTCCTGTCTGCCACTTTCTAGTATCATGGCGTTGAGCAAGTTACTTAACTTTTCTCGGTCTCAGTTTCTTCGTCTGCATGATGGGGTAATAGTTTCTATCTCATTTGGCTGCTGTGCAGAGTAAATGAGTTAATATTGGTAAACCATATAGAAAAGCACCATTAAAGTGATTGTTGAATAAAAATAAAAGTAAACAAACATCTTATCGTTGGAAATTGCTGTTTCCAAGAGACTCATGCTACTGAGCAAATACTGATATTATTGTTATTGTTGTTATTGCTAAAATACACTGAGTGACTTTTTCTTAGCACTCATTTACTACTTACAACAAAGCTAATAAATATAGTAATTTTGTTTAGTTGAGAAAACTGAGATATGGAAAGTAATTTGCCTAAGTTCACCCATTTTAGTAAATGACAAAAAAAAAGGTTTGAGCCCAGTCCACCCAAATCCAGAAAATGTTAAAGAACATTTGTTACAGTGCTTATCTTTTGCCTACAATCTTGTGCTATTAAAAACCATACCTCTATAAGCATCAAAACGTGTCAACTGAAAGTAGTTTTTCATGCCTCAGTTAGCAGCTCTGTGTTTTGCGCAAAGTACTTATCTTCATAAATGTCTCATAAATACTCATTTTCAGTAGTGTCTGAATTAATAAGATTTTATTAAATCAATTATTTTATCATCATTAAAACTTTCTGATCATTCAGAATATAAACATTTTATTTCACATGGTGATCTGGTGGCTTTGAATTCTGGTATTTTTATGTTAAACTGAAATTATTTCATCTTATGGTTGCTTGCTCCATAATTTTTTATACCTATTTTTTTGTTCTCTCTTTTTTCAACCCTCCCGATCCCCTGCAGGCGCCTTCATCATCTGTTGGACTCCTGGACTGGTCTTGCTGCTCCTCGATGTGTGCTGTCCACAATGCGATGTCCTGGCCTATGAGAAATTTTTCCTTCTGCTTGCCGAGTTCAATTCTGCCATGAACCCCATCATCTATTCCTACCGCGACAAGGAGATGAGCGCCACCTTTAGGCAGATCCTCTGCTGCCAGCGCAATGAGAACACTAGCGGCCCCACAGAAGGCTCAGACCGCTCAGCTTCCTCCCTCAACCACACCATCTTGGCTGGAGTTCACAACAATGACCACTCTATGGTTTAGAAAGGAAACTAAGAAGGCAGCCATCATCTGCGAAGGGATGGAGAGACTCCCCCCACCCCAATGTGAGGGCAAGGTGTGGGGTGTCAGAGAGAGGAAAAATAAACTCATGTACTTAAACACTAACCAATGGCAGTATTTGTTCCCAGACCCAGCAAGACTTGATATACATTGAAAAGTAGCTTATGTGACAACCCTCATCTGGATCCCCATTGCTTTTGAAAGTAGAAAGTGGAGACCTTGTAATGGAATTCATAAATAGACTCTGGAGTGTCCATTTAGGCAGACTTCAAAAGATTTTGTGTGGTTTGGTGCAAGTCAGAATAAATTCTGACTAATTGAATCCACAGCTTCATTTGCATACAGACTTCCCTTTTTTATTTTTAAAGAATACATTTCATTTAATAAACATGTTTATGCCTATCAGCATGCTTGTGATGGATAAGCCTATAGACTGTTTTTAAACTACCATAACTTCATTTTTTTTCCTTATGTAGGAAAACTGTAAATTAGAATTATTTTTTTTTAGAAAGCATGCATGTAATGTATGTATGCAGTATGCCTTACTTAAAAAAGATAAAAGGGTATAAATTTTAAATCTTCTAGAAAATAGAAGAACCTAGATGTCAAAGCCAGTATTTGTTTAGGTTATGGAACAAACAATACTCTAATCACAATATTACCTTTTTATTAAAGTGTTGTAACACATATAAAACAAAAATGGGATGTAAGTTTATTACCAAAATAATATGTACTCTAAAAAAGTCATAGAAGATACACAGTAATATTGTTCCCACATATTTATATCAAGTACATTCTAATTATTAGTACATTTGAGGAATTTTTAAATAGTCTGAGTTTTTCTGTATTATGAAATAATACATACTCATTGTAGAAAACTTGAAAAATGCAGACATGCGTAAAACAGAAAATATAATTACTGATACTATCCCAACCCAGGGGTAACCACCATTAACAGCCTTTCCCCTGTGTACACCTATATACACATATTATATGCCTTTTATATAATTGGGTTCATACTGTAAACAATTTTATAACCAGGTGTTTTTTTTTTTCACTAAAAAATTGCCACATTTTCCTATGGCATTAAATGTTTTACAAAAACATAATTTTCATGCTATATAATATTCCATTTAATGGATGCAGCTCAGTTTATTTAGCCATTTCCATATTGTTGATTACTTAGATTATTTCTAATTTTCATTGTTATAAAGATGTTGCAAAAATTTTATGTACATAAAACTGTCCACATAATTATTTGCTTAGGACATGTTCCCATGAAGGATTTTTTAAAAATGTGAAATGTCTTTTTATGCTCATACCTTTTATAAAAAGGGATTTCCTGCTTTGCACCTCATGGGTGACAATTGTGAGGAAAGCCAGTGAAATTACCTTTTTACAAAGGAAGTCCAGTGGTTAGTTTAGAGTGACTTTCTAGTCCAACAAGATGGACTAGACACTGTCAACTGTCGCAGATATCAAGGATACCCGAATTAATATGTATAGCAATTCCAAATTTTGTCTGAGGGACCAGTTATTCAACTTTTAGTAGCCATAACTGCAATGCGTATCAATAAAATTCAAGAAAACGCAAAATCAAATGTGCCAAGTGAATGAAGGATTTTCATATCAAATGTCTTGGGACCCTTCTGTAGCAAATTGGTTGAGTGTGACTGGATATGTGACTGGATACTGTGTATTCTCTAAGAATCACCCCAGATAGACTGCTGCCATGTTAGGTGATAACCTATTTAATTCATTGTCTAGGAAAACTAGCAATTGCACCAGTTTGTTGTAACAGGTAACCAGTAAAGTCACAGGCATGAAGCAGGTATGGGAAAGTCAGGAGGATGTTTAGGAGCAAGATGTCCAGGAGGAGAATGATTGTCAAGGGAGGAGGGAGTCCGTGCATAGTCACCATTTGAACAGAGGGCAGACTTGGGAAGCGCCCAGAGTAAAAAGAATATGGGTGAACTGTTCGCAGAAAGGTGTTTGCACATACTTTATACAATACACAGAGCATTTTATATTGGAAGTGAAAGAAATGAACTTGGACTTTTACTCATGTGCATGTGTTCTGAAGGAGATATGGACTATTTGACATTAAAAACATACTAATTGGACCTTAATAAATCCTTCTCAATCAGTGTTTTGCAATGCGTGGTTCTGGTCAGTGCTATTCTTTGGTTTACATTGCATGGTGCCTTTCTTCTTGTGACCGGCTTTATTTTCCTGCCACAAGGAAACTTTCTGATTTCTGAGGTGAAACTCCCACCATGTGCTTCCCCAACTCAGAACTGCTTTTTTTCAACCTAAGTAATAAGTCTTTCCATTGTCCAGTTGCATTAAAGTCTAAGGGACAATACATGACTTCAACAGTATAACTGTTAGAGTAAGTTTCTTTTTGAAAAAATCTCTGATTTGATAAGACCTTTGTGATGGCTTATGAAAAACTCTCATGAGGAATTTATAACGTCACAGTGGCCTTTATACTTAGAGATTTAGTAATGAGATAAAAATGATAGGTATCTTTCTGTTACATGCTAATTATATTCTTTTCAATATATTGCTAAGAAGTTAGAAAAATGATAAAATGTTTATTCGAATGAATGTCTTAATGAATATTTGGAAGAGAATGCTGTACCTTTAAGTTCAGGTGGATGTTAAGCTTTTTTAGAAATCAAATGTCTCAGAACTCCTCACAAATTAGCCACTGCTCACATATACCAGTTCCCTCTTCCCAATTTTGCTTTCCATGGTCTCAGTTCCCATGGTCAACCATGGCCTGAAAATAAATGGAAAATTTGAGAAATAATTCATAAGTCTTAAACTGAATGCTGTTCTAAGTCATGTGATGAAATCTCGAATGACGAGCTTCGGCCCACTGTGACGTGAAACATCCCTTTGTTCCGCATCTCCACGCTGAGTGTGCTCCTCCACCATCTTGCTTATCAGAAGGACTGTGACTATACTGTGGCAGTGGTTTTCACATCACCCTTATCTTGCTTAATAATGATCCCAAAGTGCAAAACTAGTAATGCCAAAGAGAAGCTGTAGTATGCTTCCGTTACGTGAAAAGATGAAAATTCTCAAGAAGGAAAGGAAAAAACCCTGTAAGCTGAGATTTCTAAGATCTATGGTAAAAACAAATCTTCTGTGAAATACAATATTTTGAGACAAAAAGAGCACATTCATATAACTTTAATTTCAGTATCTTACAACAACTATTCTGTTTTACTATTAGTTGTTAATCTCTTACTGTGTCTAATTTATAAATTATTATTAGTTATGTATAAGAAAAACAGTACACATAGAGTTGAGTACTTTCTGTGGTTTTAGGCGTCCACTGGGGGACTTGGAACATATACCCAGAGATAAGAAAGGATATTGTAGTACGTTTTTTTTGTACAGGAAGACAATCATTTCTATATTCAGCTAACACTACAAAATTAGTGAGTCTTACTGGTTTTTGCATTCTTGCTCCTAAATATTGCTTTAGGTTCCACTTTTCACCTTTCTAATTTACTCCATTTTTTCTCTCCGCTTCTGAAATGTAAATGTGTGATATTTCTGGCCCTTCTTTTTTAACCCAGAATGTGATTCATGCTAGATAAAAACTATAGAAATATGTATTTATCAAATGTCTTCATACCAAGGTGAACACAGCATTTTTATGTAAAGACCTTTGGAAACAACTTTTTTATTTTTTTAACACCAAGTGCGCTCCACCTGTTCCCAAACCCTCAGGAGGACTGGGCTTCATCTGTGTGTTGGGACGGTTTGGCTTTAGGCACCATACGACAGAAGAAACGTGTGTAACTAGGAGCCAGAATGGACTCCGAATCAGGGACCATTCATGCTCTGACATTCCCCTGTACCTTGTATAGTCTACATATTGAACTCTCTCATTCTTCCCTCACGTTTCTAATGCTCATATTCACAGATTATTCACTAATAATCTGTTTAATGACGTAGCATGTAAAGACCATTTTAAAATCTAAAGCAGATGTTGGCAAACTAAGACACATTGGACAAATCGACCTGTTTTTGTATGACTTAGGTGATAGGGATGGGTTTTACATCTTTAAATGATTGAGAAAAAGAATATTTTGTGATGCATGAAAATAACATGAAATTCAAATTTTAGTGTCCATAAATAAAGTTTTACTGGAACACAGCCACGCTCACTAGGTTAGATTTTGTTTAAGGCTGTTTTGGTACTACCACAGCACAATTGAAGAATTGCAACAGAACCTGTTTCTCAAAGTCTCTAAAATATTTATTGTTTGACGCTTTACAGAAAAAGTGTGCCTACCGATGATTTAGCAAATTCCATTTTCAATTATGCCATCCTCATTTTACTGTATGTTTATTGGAAGATGGAAAGAGAAATTGGGCACACTGTCATCGCTTGAATGCTAAACTGCAGAGAAAATAAGCACAAATGCATTTTTAAAAAATAATAGACATAATTTTATTTTGAAACAATCTCAAACTTACAGAAAAGTTTGCTGAATTTAGAGAACATTTTTCCTGAACCATTTATAAGCTGCCAACATGGTGCCCTATCATCCCTGGGTACTGTGTAATTGTTGCAGACAAAGACATTATCTTTAATCACCTCATGGCAATCATCAAAACCAGGAAGTTAACATGGATACATAAGCTAACATTTAATTCACAGACCCCATTCAAGTTTAACCTATTTTTCCAATAATATTTCTTATAGCAAAAGAATCCAGTCTAGGATTACTGGTTGTATTTACTTGTTCTGTCTCTTAAGCCTTCTGTAATCTTGAACAGTCCCTCAGTGTTTTCATGACCTTCATTCATGTCCTTGACATTTAAAGATCACAGGTCAGTTCATATATAGAATGTCCCCCAACCTGGGTTTTTCTGATATTTCTTCATGGTTAGAATCATGTTGTTTATCTTTAACAAAATAACACAGAAGCACGGTTGTGGTTCTCACTGCATCCTGTTGAGGGGCACGTGATATTGACTTGTTCCATTATTAGTGACCTTAATTTTGATTACTTGATTACAGTGCTTCTGCCAGGTTTCTCCGTTGTGAAAAAAAAAACCCTACTTTTTTTCCTATTTATAATAAGGTTTTTGTAGGAGATATCCTGTTCCTCATCAAATTTTGACATCTAGTTTCAGCGTCCATTGATATTCCTTGGGTGAATTAATCATTACACTAATGGTTGCCAAATGAATTTCTTTTCTCTTTAAAATGCATTAGTTAGCTCTCCACTATGAGAAAAAAATTTTGTCCTCTCATTTATTTATATAAGTATGAGCTCATGAATTCTGACTGTATTCAATTAGTTGTAATGTTGCTATCACTTTAAAATTAAATTTTACTTTTGAGATAATTTTGGACTCATATGCAGCTGTAAAAAAAATAATGGTGGGTTCCCTCTACACTAGACCCAGTTTCCCCCAGAGCTGATGTCTTCTAAAACCACAGTATAACATTACAGCCAGGATATTGACATTGATACAGTGAAGGTATAGAACAGTTCTAAAGCCACAAGGATCCCTCCTGTTATATTTTTATAGCTACACTCAATCCCCAATCCTCCTCCTGACCCTTAGCCACCACTAATCTGCTCTCCATTTCTTCAATTACATTTTAACCATTTTTTCATACTGAAGCCTCTAAAACTACTTTATAACAGTGGTTTAATTGGTTGGGGCTGATGTATCAGGTTGGCCAAAAAGTTCATTTAGTTTTTTCTGTAAAATAAAAGACACATTTTTCATTTTCACCAATAACTTTGGTTTGGATATTTTGAATATGTCAGCTATCTCTCATGGTGATATAATACTGGTTAGTCTCACATAGTGTCTTGATTTGATTGTTATCAACTTCAACTGGTGTACCTGACTGTAAAGCATTGTCCAGCAAGAAATCTCCAGCACAAAACTTTGCAAACCACTTTTGACACATTTGATCACTCACAGCACCTTCTCTATATACTGCACAAATTTTTTTTGTGTTTCAGTTGCATTTTTACCTTTTTTGAAATAATAAAGCATAATATGCTGAAACTATTGCATATTTTCTTCCATCTTCAATATTAAACTGGCTACATAAAAATTCACCAATTTTGTGCATGCTGATATGACAGTTGTCACAATACAATCTAACAAAATTGTTTCGAATGAAGTTCCAGGCAACTAAGCACTACTAGAGCCATCTTATGGAAAAAACCAAACAAACATTTTGGCCAACCCAGTACCTCCTTAGGAGGTGTGTGTGTGTGTGTGTTTCTTGAAGAGAGAGAAAGAGACTTTTGTGATTAGAAAAGCTGCACAAATATATATGTATTTTAAGGAATACAGAAATGAAAAAAGAAGACAGTAAAAATCTCTCTTTGAAGGCCTTGTAGGATGGAAACTAGACCACAGCTACTTGTTGCCCACATTACCTGATAAACAATAAACGCAGACATTCACAGAAGACACTTTGTTTTGTGTAACTCTCAGTGTCTTCCCATTGGCATTAGGGGAGTTAGGCCTTTTTTGCTTTGTATGACATTGTTTATCTTTGGTTTTCATCTTACCTCTTACCTTGCATTTTCCTTTTAGGAAAGGAATCTTGTTTTACTTTGTGTCTTTCAACTCACATATCATAGTGCTAAGTAGTACTTAATGCTTACTTGTTTAAATGAAATAAAATGTGTGAGCCACAAGTAAAGGCACTCTTCACCAGGAAATATTCTTTAGTTCCATAACCCTGATAAAGGTTTTCCTTCATGTTTAAGAATATTGCAGTTAAAATTAAGCAGGAACATGAAAAACCAAGGTCAAGGTCTTTGGGTGATACAATGTTTTATTAATAATCATTTGTGCCTTTTGCAGTGTGTTTTATTTAACTTATTTTAGTATGCTTTGCTAAGGTTTTTACTATTACTATAGATTGAATTTGTAATGTGATCTACATCTTACAGAAGACAATCAGACAATTTGCATTTTGATCTCTGCAGCAACCCTGTTACACATGAGGGAACTGTTTCAGAGAAAAAATTGGGGGCCTAATATTTGTTGTCTACCAAATTATTTAAACCTAATTATCTATTCTTTATATTATAATCCATAATTTCTCATAAGTATTTATCAAT